GACAATATCATGTATCTCCTTCTCTTCCACTGATCCTAAAAACATTGAACTTGCATTCCTTTCAATGTTTCCTCCAGTCTCGCTTTCTATCATATCAACCTTTATTTCTGCAGCCAGTTTTGGCCCTATATTTACAAAAAATTCATTGAATCCATCTACTACTTCGTTCATTTTACTAATAGTATTTGTCCCTTCCATAAAATACCCAGGGTAGTCATTAGTCCTTGGTCCATTTTTTATTATACTATTTAATACCTTCCATATCCCTTTCATGCTATCTTTATTATCTTCTAACTTTTTGATGAATTAATCTTTTTTACAAGTTCTCATTATGTTAGTTAATTTATTTTTATACTTTTTATATTTCTTTTCAGACTCTGTAGTTCTCTTTTTAATGAATTCTCTATATAAGGTGTTCTTTTTTTTACAGGCATTTTGCAGTCCCTTCGTCATCCATGGTCTTCCTGCATACTTATCTTTCCTGTTGACTTCAATGAGTAGGCTGTTTTCCTCTAATAAGGCCATGAATATGCTTAAGAATGCCTCATAGGCTTTATTGACATCCTTGTGTTTATATACAATAGTCCAATCTTGTTTTATTAACTCATTTTTGAGACACTGCATTGTCTTTTCTGTTCTAATTGTTTTATATATTGTCTTACATTCATTTCTATGAACTTCATAGCAACAGTCATAAGTTACAAAAAACTGGTAAGTGGTCACTTATATAATTTATCAATATTTTATATTTTCTTCCATTACATTTGTAAAAATATTATCTAATAGAGTTGCGCCATGAGTGGTTATTCTCCCTGGTCTTGTTATCAGGGGAAATAATCCCATACAATACATTGAATCAATAAATTCTTCAATACTCTTATTATGATTTGGGTTCAATAAATCAATATTAAAGTCTCCACAAATAAACATTCTTTTCTGATTCAGATTTGTATACAAGTCCTCCATAATGTCCTTAAAAGTCTCAATCTTTGACCCTGGTGTTCTATATATGCAACTGACAATCATATTTTTCTGTTTTTTCATATTTATTTCCACTGTTATACATTCCATCACTCCATCTACCACCCTCGTCATTCTTCTCATTTTTTCAAATCTTAGATTTTCATCAACATAGAGTGCCACCCCACCTCCTTTTTAATTAGTCCGATCTAAGTGGAGGAATTCATATCCCTCTATCTCAAAATCTTCTTTTCCAGTGTTTATCCAAGTCTCTGATATTGCTATCACACCAAATGGTTGATTAAACTGTGCTATATATTCTTTAATAAATTGAAAGTTTGCATATAGACTTCTACTATTGAAATGAACCATGGTTATATTCTTACCCCGCTCTATGTTCCTATTAAATTGTTCCATTGTATAATAATTACTGTCCTTTAACATTTTGGTAAAAAAAAATTACAGTCAGGATCATACCCCAGTGTCTGCGTTTTTCTTGATTAGGTATTCATTAACATACACATTCGTTCCTTTCAACTTTCTTCCTTGCTTCAGTAGCTCTTTTTTCTGCTTCCTATTAACAAATCTTATAATAATGGCAGGTTTTTGGTGGAGCCTGGCTGTGGCCTGCTGGCTGATGGTGCAGCCTGGCTGTGGCCTGCTGGCTTTGGGTGTTCTGAATCTGTTCCTAACAGATCGCTACGCATCGATCGACTGTACACATATCCAACTTCTTTAAACATGCCATGAGGTTGATATATGCATCGGAGGAACTCAGAATTCAGTATCTTGCCCAAGGATCCTTTCTCATGTGTAGCGAGTAAAAGCCACCGAGTAACCGCTAAGGGCCTCTATACTACTTGTGCAAACTTTCAGGCCCAAAGCTCTTACAGGAACGAGCCCAGAATAAACGGGACAAGAGGGTCAATATCAGTCAGATATGTTAAAATTTATTATTTTAAAAGAACACAAAGGGTTTGCAAAAGGCCTAAAACATTAAAATGGAAAAGGTCACTAACGACCACAAGATAGTCTTATTGGTGCAACCTGCCAGCAATGCAACTATCACCTGAGGGCTTGCTCTCCCTCGGCGGTCCCAGATGCTCATTGCTTTAAAAGAAAATAAATCCACCGCAAATAAATACGAGCCCAACAGAACACTTATCGCATGCACTAAGTGTTTTAGTTCAGGCAATAATCGGTGGCACTAAAATCACTCTTAATAAAACGTATTCACTGCAAATCCACACGGAGCACCTCTAAAAAGACCTAATTCCCCTAAGGTAAGAGCCCAGCTCAGGGATTGCACATTGCCCGACTAATATTGCACCAGCCCAGTAGAAATAAAAACAAACCCGGCATAAAAAACAGTTTTAAAAGGTGACCATGGTCTCAAACCAACTTGAGAGAAAAACGCAACAAAAAGGAGAAGGAGGAAAAAAACAGTGACAAATTCACATGTGCAGCCTGTCCTGCAGGAGGCAGTACAATATAAATTAGATTATAGTGCATAAATATACCTTTTTTTTAAAACGTCAAATATATTAAGTTAACATACCTCCAGCAGACAACTGTGTTTGCTGCACACCTGGCTTGTCTTCTAAAATCACTACTAGAAACAAAATACAATAAACATCAAATACATTTCAACAAATTTTAAAAAGCACTAACAATGGCTGAGCGTAACTGTGCGGACATATTTTACCTCCACAAACAGCTGAGACGTGGTTTGCGATACATGTGGCAAAAAAGTCAGGTGTTGTAGCCACACTTGCCAACCTTGAGACCTCAGAATTAGGGAGACAATTCAAAAGGGCTGTTTTGGGGTGATAAATACATTTTACAGTGTTTCTTTATCGGATAAAATACGTTAAATGTCACCGTTATTATTGGCCGGCCTGGAAACAGCAGGGTGTCCAAATTCAGAGGCTGCTTCCACCTGAGGACCGGCCTTCGCGGTCTAAAGAAAGCCGGGTAGTACGTCACGAGCTCCCTCGGTGGAGTGAAACTCTGCCGTCTGCTCCTTGCTATCTAAAATATAACCGGGCACTGACGTAAACTCTCGACCTTCTCACACTTCTGTTTAGTCAGTTTCTGTTTGACGTTTATTCAGCTGTGTGAAAACCCCGGAGGAACCCTCCCGAGGGATTAATAAAGTTAAATTTAATCTAATCTAATAATTTTATTCTCTGCCAAACCGATTTACTCACGCACAAATAAAACACTGAAAAAGCCAAACAAGAACATTTTATTGTTATCAAAGTGACTCATATATCATGTTTAACTCGAGTAGTGAAAGACCGCGGGGGTTTGAAGACGATGTGTCGGCTCAGATATTTGAAGTTTCCACAGCTACATTCTCACCTGAAAATATGTTAAAGGTTTTTTTGCGACCCAGAAAGAGAAATAAGAGTAATATTAAAACTAAGCAGCTGCCGTCATTGTTGGAAACTGGAATTGGCTGGGCCGCGCTTTGAATTCTGTGATATGGTTTTTCAATTTTGTTGTCCGGGTGGGAAATCAGGAGATTTTCAGGAGGGGCACTGAAATTCGGGATTCTCCCGGAAAAATCGGGACGGTTGGCATGTATGGTTGTGGCAACATCACTAACCTTGTCAAACACCTCAGAGTAAATCATGTCACAGAATATGACGAGCGTATGTTGAGGCGAACTGAAGAGGAGGACAGGGACTTAACTTAGCAAACTTACTTACAAACTTAGCACTAAAAAAGTAGACCATTTTGGCCGGTTTTGGAGCAGTCTGGGGGGATGGTGACCTTTGAATGACCTATAAAATAAAGTTTAATATCTCAGAAACTGTAGCAGCACAAACGCTCATTTTACCTGCACAAATCTGCACAAACGTAGCACTAACCGCTCCGCCTATTTGCCTTTACGTTTCAAGTGGCTGGGGGGTCAGCTTCACTCTGCTCAGATTTTTCAAACTCGAGGGGTACAAAATGCAACACAAAAACTGACACGCGTGGTTTTATTCGCGAGCCAAACGCGTTTTTGCGACGCAAATCTGCTTGCAAATTTTCACGGGACCCGCAAGCACGGCTCATCACGCTCCTACATTTACTTTACATGTAAACAAAACACAAGAAACAAAAGATGCTGGGGGTTGGGTTTGAGGTTATGACTATTGTTGTCATTATTTTTGTGCCTCAATAATGCTATGCTTTTTATTAAAAAGTGTTATAAAGTTATATAGTGTAGTATTAAGTGGACACAGCCTGAAAAATAAAGGCATGAGACCACGTGTCCTTGAGAAGTAGAAAGCTGCAGACTCTCGCTCATGTTTGCCTGGGAAAATATAGATAAGAGGGAACATTGTCTGTGGAAATTTACTGGAAAGCTGTTGTTTAGACTAAAATGAGAGAGCTTCTCTAATAAAACTGTTAGGGGCACACCACAATTTTCAGATCCGCGGCAGCGTGTCATGCAGGACGCATCTCCCTTCTAGAAGTAATAAAGTCTTAAATGGTCTACTGACCAGTGTTTTGTCTTCTATTGGATGCCTCTGAGGAATCAAAAGAACTCGGTAAAGTGTTGATATTTATACTATCTCAGCAGAAGTTTTCTACTTATGCCAAAACATTTCTTCCTGTTAAAAGGGAGTTTTTCCTTCCCGCAGTGTTTTACCTTTACAATATAAAAAACTGTTATTCCATATCATATATCAGTAAAATTTGATCTAACAGAAAGACTGGAATAAAATGCTTTGGTTACACATCTGAACGTTGTGTGGACACACGAGGGGAAAGGATGTCGCGGTTTTCCAAGATCACATCAGAAGGCCTCATGCTTTTAATGATAAGTTATCTCAATGTCATAGATCTGAATTCTAGACGATTCTATGAGCAAGAAACGATGCCCTTACACCGAGTTACAGAAATGTTTGTTCAGAAGAAATAAGAGTCCAAGCATTCCTGAACATAGTATTTGTTTATTTATATTTAGGAGATTCACTGAAAACAGATGAACAGATGGGATACAAAGAAAGTGAGTGGGAGGGGTCACCCATCCTTCTACTCACTGATCAATAAATACTTTTTATTTATGCAAGAAACAAACAGCATTGTAACAGTGCATGTTAGAAATGACTGGACAGCAGCCAATAAGGAAAAAACTTAAACGCAAGATCCTAAAATTATTATTATTATTATCAACATTGCTATAAGTTAACAAAACCCTGACAAACATCAGCAGTCAGTATTTTCACGTCACTGACAGCAGAAGTTAGGTCCTCTCTGAGTCCTAATGACAAATCATTTTCAGTAACTGTATCAACAACGAACACTTCGGTCGGCCATGTTTGGACCTCCAAAAACAGTTTAAACAAACACATCAGTTTGTGTAAAACTTTGTTAACATCAAAGTAACTTTACAAAGTCTGCAACATCTGCAACTTTAGCTGCCTCAAAACGAAGTTCTATTGATGCAACAGAAACACAATAATGATATAGGCCTGAACGATGTGCCTAAAACAACTCGCATCCATGTTTCAAAGAAAAGTACATAGCAAGTGTCATATAATGAAAACCTCAAGAAAATGATGTTTCTGTCACAACAAAACTCACAGTAATAAACAAATAAAATATTCTTAGAAAGACAAACTGCTTCATTTAAAAGAAATCTGTTGGTTCAAACAAACCTGCCATTTTTAACAATCGTATGTATGACATATAAAAGACAGCACTTTGGAAAGCTGTAGTTAAGTAATTATAGATCGATGTATAATGATATTTATAGAATTAATTCGTTTTTTAATGAAATAAAGCACCCAACAACAAAAACATCTTTTAAAACAAGCAAACAGGAAAGACGAAGTATGTTGACATAACAACTGCATAATGAAGGTTTGTTTACAGCGTTTTTACACTTTCAGGTTGTATTTTCAGTGAGAGTACAGCAGTGACTTTGTATTCCTTCAAATCTTTTTCTGCAAAGTTCACATTATTGCTGTTTCTGTCGGTGGATCCTTTTATGATAATTTAATGCACTGCGAGAAGTGAAGACCTTCCCGCACTGCTCGCAGGAGAAAAGCATGTCTTTTGTGTGGCGGTTCCTGTGCACCTTTAAAGTACCTATTTGAGTGAAACTCTTCCCACACTCCCCACAGCTGTACGGTCTCGTTCCAGTGTGGATGCGTTCATGTACTGTGCGCTTAGTCTGTGAACTAAAAGTCTTGTCGCAGTGTCTGCACTTGTATGGTTTTTCTCCAGTGTGAATACGTGTGTGGCGTCTCAGGTCTTCCCTCAAGGTGAATCTTCTCCCACACTGGTCACATCTGTGTGATTTCTCTCCGGTATGCATAACAACATGCCTTCTAAGGTTAGATGATGAAGAGAAATCTTTACCGCACTCCTCACAGGTGAAAATCATTTCTTTTGTGTGGATGTTCTTGTGGACCTTTAAAGTACCTATTTGAGTGAAACTCTTCCCACACTCCTCACAGCTGTACGGTCTCGTTCCAGTGTGGATGCGTTCATGTACTGTGCGCTGAGTCTGTGAACTAAAAGTCTTGTCGCAGTGTCTGCACTTGTATGGTTTTTCTCCAGTGTGAATACGTGTGTGGCGTCTCAGGTCTTCCCTCAAGGTGAATGTTTTCCCACACTGGTCACATCTGTGTGATTTCTCTCCGGTATGCATAACAACATGCCTTCTAAGGTTAGATGATGAAGAGAAATCTTTACCGCACTGCTCACAGGAGAAAATCATTTCTTTTGTGTGGATGTTCTTGTGGCGCTTTAAATAATATAGTCGAGTGAAACTCTTCCCACACTCCTCACAGCTGAACGGTTTCACCCCAGTGTGGATGCGCTGGTGATAGAAAAGACTCGAAGGCCATGAAAAACTTTTCGCGCACTCACTGCAGCTGTAGGGCTTTTCTCCTGTGTGAACCCTCTGATGATTCTTTAATTCTCCTTGGGTCACAAACCCTTTGTCACATTGCTGACAATGGTGCGGTCTCTCTCCAGTGTGATACCGTTGAATGTGAGTCGATAAGTTTCTCAATGAGATAAATTCACTGCCGCACTCCTGGCACATATGTGGTTTTTCTCCACTGTGCGTTTTCTTATGAACATTTAGCGTGCGTACTGTTTTGTATGTTTTCTCACACTGATCACAGCTGTACAGTCTTTCTTCAGTGTGACTTTTTTGATGACTCTTTAGTTGCTTCAGGTTGTGGAAAGCCTTCTGGCATTGCTGACATCTGTGTTTTTTCCGCATTTCTTTGCCGGTCTTGTCCTAATTCAACAGAAAAACAAAAACAGATTATAACTCAGGTACTGGCAACATGGTGACACTTCCAGAAGTCAGCAGGGCTCTAGACTAACTTTTTCCCATGGTTGCACTGGTGCGCCAGCACCATTGGCGGAGCGGGGGGTGGCTTACTGGGCTTAAGCCCGGGTTGTTTTTTCAGAAACCCGGGGTCTTTTGGAGTGTGCGACCAACTGTTCGGGTAACAAAAAAAAAAAATCTCTGCAACTCTCCGTGTGGTCAACAACAGACACACATTTTGCCCCTATCATGGACTAAACGAATCAGAGATAGTCAGGGGCGGGACCTCTCTGATTGGCCATGGTCCAGTTGAAAGTGCAGGTGGAAGAGAGAGGTGAGTAGCTTGAATAAAGCGATATCAATTCATTAACGGATTACACACAAAGACGTAAACACAGACCCGACGCATCAGAATCAGCTTTGTCTTTCTTGGCTTTCTCACCCGACGGCCCGTAGACGGACACGCTGTAGGAGCTTAGCGATCCTGATGTGTCCGGTCCGCGCTGTGTTTACGTCTTTTTTGCGCTGATTCTGAGCTGCAGGTTTTGTCTCTCTCCAACCAAAATTTGCAGAGCCAGCAGCAAAAGAAGCAGCAAACTGCGCTTCACATTTGATCAATGTCGTCATGAATTCCCTCTGACTTTTGCTGTTTTGCTTCCGCCACGATAAAAATCACACTTCCTGCACAGCTCTCTCTCTGTGTGTACTTCAGGAACAGTTTCCAGTCTCAAATCTCTGTTTTCTGCATTATTTGTTTGCTTATTACCCACCAGTCTACCGTTGTTTACAGCGCTGTCTTTTTCTTTTTTCACTTCAATGACCTCGGACAAGAAAGCCTAATTTCTGCTGTTCAACACTGAAGAAATTTAAACTTCTTAAAATTATGCAAAATTGCAGAATATTTTTAAGGTTATCTGCTATAAAAAGCCAGACCAGGAAAATCTCCTTCATGTTTTTCTGTGTTTTATTCTCAGTTACTTTCACACAAAGGCATCTGCTGTGATGTTCACAATTCTGATGAAGTCTCATTATAATATTTCTGACTGTCTGAGGCTAAATTGAATCAAATCAGGACTTTGAGAACCGGAATCGAATGGATTATAGAAATCAGTGATGATACCCAGCCCTAGTGAGCAGCCTAGGCCTGACAGAAGTGGATGTAGCTGTGGGTAATAAGAAAAGATGAAAAGAACGATTGATAACTTTTTTGTTAAGTTAAGGCCTGATCTGTCTGAAATTCATAGCCAGTACTCTGACATGGTGCCATCAATCTTTGAATGCTGAAAAAGCACAGTGTATCCAGGAAACACATTATATGCTGCGATAAATGCTCAAGTGTCCCCTCCCCCCACTGCCTTTCAGCAGCATGCAGCAGCAAACAGGTCGTCAGAGGAGCCAAGATGATGATTAAGTTTAACATTTTCTACAATATTGACAAAGCACTTTAAGCACAAGATTGTTAGTTAATAATTTAGAAATTTTATATATTATGCTTTGGATGTTGTTCAATATATTTCTATGCAAATCAAGAGGAATTTCAATACACAGCAGTATATTCACAGTTGAAACCAGATATTTACATAAACTTTAGTGAAAAAACATTAAAAAAAAACATAAAAACATTTTTTTACTGTTAAACATCAATTTAGAGTAAACTTTTGTTTTAGATAAATAAATATTGAAATATCTTTTGAATTAGTTAAATGTCAGAATAAAGAGAGACAGAGCTTTCTGTTTTTTATCACTTTCATCATATTTAGGAGTGCATATCCACTAAGTTTATTGTTAATTAATAAGAAAACTCCAGACGACTCCATTCTGAGCTGAAGAAGCTTCTGATAGGTTAGTAGAGTCCATGTGAGTAAATTGGTGGCACAGCTGTGGATGCATATAAGGCAAAACACAGAGCCTGTTTCTTTGACATGGGAAAATCAAGAGATGTCAACCAAAACACCAGGAAAAGGATTGTGGAGCTCCATAAATGTGGCTCAAGTTTTGAATACAATTTGGTGCCATTTACAATTAAGAAATACAGATAGTTTCTCTCTTTACTCTTAAAGTTAACAAATGTGTTCAGTTCTGGTTGAATTGGGGTTTAGTCCTCGCGTCTTGATACAGCCCTGATTTTGTTCTGCCTTGCTGCTTAATTAAAAACACTAGTTTAAGGTGTCCTGCATATGTGATATATATTTTCTTCTTATATGAAGCTATTCTTTTTCAAACAAAACTCAAAACACGGCCTAGTAAACCTTAAACTTCACAGCATGCTTTTTCAATCTTTTGTAATGATGATTAACTAACAATCTTGTGAACACAAAGTTCTTTATTTGGAGCACAGATCTACAAGAAAGATAAGTTACTGAAAAAGTGCTCGAGCTTAAAGTGCTTTGGCAATGTTAAACTTAATCATCATCATCTTTGCTGCTACCTGCCGCTGAAAGGCAGTGAGGAGAGGGGACACTTGGGCAGTGCATTTATCACGACATATAATTTTGTTTTTGGATACGCAGTGCTTTTTCAGCGTTCAAAGCTTAATGGCTCCGTGTCAGAGCACTGGCTATGAATTTCAGACAGATCAGGCCTTAACTTAACGAAAAAGTGATCTTTTCATCCTTACCCAGAGCTACATCCACTTCTGTTGGGTGAGAATCGTTACTGATTTCTATAATCCATTCAATTCAGGTTCACAAGGTCCCGATGCGATTCGGTTCAATTTTAAAATCAGACAGTCAGAAGTATTATAGTTCTGATCATTTATCAGTACTGACAGTGTGAGACTTCATCAGAGGTGTGAGCATCACAGCAGATGTCTTTGTGTCAAAGTAACTGAGGACAAAACAAAAAAACATGAAGGAGATTTTCCTGACTTTTTATAGCAGATAACCTTAAAAATATTCTGCAGTAGAACAAAAACTGAAGAAACAGGAAAGGTGAGTAAAAGGTTTCTACTAAACATCTAAAATGCTCGGCTGTGTTTGATCATATATACTTTAAGATCAGTAAATATCCAAATGAAATGCTGTCAAAACAAGTCATCTATGTTTTATTATTCCCAGAAACACTCGTGTCCAAAATGACACCCTTCAGCTAACTGCTGTTTGGAAATCACATTGTTGGCACAAAATATATTGTATGCTGTCAAACTGTTTCTCTGGCATTTTTCATAGATTTGACTAAAGAAATGAAAACAAATGATGTTTATGGAACATCCCTGTATTACCTCCTTATTTTATGCTTGAATGATTCACAGGCTAGAGTTACACGACTTAAACTGCCATTAGTGTTATTATTTAATTTGTTCTAATCTTTATTTGTCCTGGTTTTAAACTCTTTCCCTGCAGGCACACTGAAAATGGTGTTGGCTATTTTGCCTGGTAAGAGTACTGAGTGTGCAATGTTGTTTAATTAGTGTGTTATTAGTCAGTTATCAGAGACATTACAGAAAGTTTCCCAGATAAAAGTCGAGTGATACTCCTGATTCATTGCTAATCAGTATATGTTACAAACTCTCCATCGTCCAGCCCTACAAACAAGTCTCAGGTCCAGAGCATGCTCCACTGAGAAAAGCTGTTCTGTTATTTATTTCATGTGAAAATACAAATCATGAAGCCACTAATTCTTCAAACTCCAAGTCTAGATTTTGTCTCGCTTCTCTCAGGCTCAGCAAGCAGCAGCGCTTCGTCATGTGGTTTCTTTTCGTACGCTGCCGTGCTTAACTTAGAAAATGCTCCTTTTTTTATTTACAGCAATTATTTTTAGGCACCTTTTCGGGTGAAGCCATCCTGCTGCTTCTGTTCCCTCAGTGGTCCTGACCTCCGCCAACCTTCCTCTCCTCCCCAGGTATGTCACCTCCACCTGTGAGCTGCGAAATAAAAGACGAGACACGGGTTTTGTACATCGTTTAGATGAAACGTTAACATGTGACTGAAGTGCAAAGTTACAACTTTTATTTAAGGCGTTTACTTAAACTGTGACATGAGGCGTCTCTCATTGTCAGAGGCTCAGAAGTCACTGGATAGCTGACAGCAGTCTAATGTTGAGGCGAGGCCTGTTCACCTGGTATGTCATGATACAGGCAGCAGGTAAAAACCCTTTGTACTTGTAGCTGTTCACTGTGGTTTTAAACACCCACAGGTCATTTAATCTGGAACGCATCAGCCGGTGAGTCGGTGAACTTGTAGCTTTGTTAGGGAAACCACAGCCTGTAAGCAGTTAACTGCAGCCAGCTTCTAAAAAACACCAGCTAATGTTCCCGCTCCTCTAAGGGTCAGAGGTCACAGCGGCCCACGCGCGCGCGCACACACACACACACACACTCGTTTTCATATCTTAGTGAGGACATCTTATTCACATGATGCTAACTGTAACCCTGACACTAAAACCACATTTTGAGCCTCAAAAATAACTTCAAACTCGTGCGGACAGACACGTTGTCCCCGTTAGTGACTGTTGGTCCCCACAAGTATGTTAGCATGACAATTTTCTCCCCCCGGAGCGCTTTTTCCTTACAAACGCGGCACTATTTAACGCGACAGGTTTTTTTCTTCCACCAGAGAAATAAAAGAACACGTTTCTCGCCTGAGCTGAGTCTGACGTGTGTGTGTGACCGGGGGAACCGGGGGCGCTGAACTTACCTGCGGCTCAGCGCGAGGATGCTCCGCTGAAGTCGATGGATAGTGTATCCTTCCGCGGGGCTGTGAGGCTTCGGAGCGCGCGTGGAAGTTTGTGTCGATGACGAATTTAGCTACGTTAACGGTCTCGCGAGTTGGTCGTACCACGTGACTCATTTAAGAAACTGAAGATTAAAGACTTTTAATGGAAGGACGGAGAATTAGAGCCGCGGTGATACAACTTATTTTAGGAATAACGTGGTTCTGAACTCTTCGTCTGGCTGAGATCGCAGTTTTGTTCACTACGTTTTAGGTAAGTTTATAAAGAGTTTTACAAAAAGATGACCTGAAACAGAAATGTTAGAAAGTTTCTCTCAGAAGTGAAAAATAAATTCTGAAGTCTTTTATTCATGCTCGGGGACATTTCGTCCAAACAGACATTCAAATATACGATTGTTATTTTGTATCCAAAAAAACAGAAGAAAATAGGTCAAAATTATTCAACAGGATTGAAAATCTTTTTTAAAAGCTTGAGAAAAAAACTAGATCAGGGGAAAAAGCCTCTTCTTCCTCTTTTCTTGCCACCATAGCTCAGTGGTTTTGTGTTTTTCTAATGGTGTGAGTATTTCTGACAGCCCCGTATCACAGCTCAATGTGAAATAGCCACAATAAACTGGCTTCATCACAGTGAAATCACACACACATGAAAGCATCACACACACCGACAGCATCCTTTGTCATCATTACTGATGGGACCTGTGCAACAGTGTGAGGGACTGGTGTACATATTTACTGAACGGCTGCCAAAACAGTGGAAGAAGTTCACTTCATGCACATCAGCACTAATCAGAAATGTCAGATAATGTAAAACACAATAAATCAGTAACTGTGGGGTTGTTGTTAAAAACAGTTTCAATGTCAGGTTAAACTTTCAAAAATCTATAAAAGGTCTGCAGGGCAGTGGATCTGTGTCTTTTCGTGGTCTGACACCTGAATACTGAGCTGCTGTGCTTCACCTTTGCAGTAACACCACATCCAGCTGATCGTGGAACACCAAAGAGGACTTGTTGCAGTGGTTTCAACCTGTCACAGCATCCGAGCTGAATTCTCAACTGCTTTACTCACTGATCACAAATCACTCATTGGTTCAAAGTAGAGCAGTTACAGAAGCATCCAGCAGAGGGCAGCAGATGAGGGGGGAGTCACAGACACAGGATCCACACAGCTCATCACTCCGAGCATGTGTGTGAATGTAAAAGCCCCACAAGGGACAAAGTTTGGAAATTAGCAATAGCCATAAACTCTCAGTTGAAATGACAGAGCAGGTAATACCAGGTCCAGGTTTCCCTCTTTCAAATGTAATTGCAAATGAAACAGGAGCTTTAGGATCATGAGCGCAGGGCGATAAATCCCAGTTTAAAATGAAAAACTGCATCTGCAGCCATGTGTTTCTGGATTGTGGCCACTTTTGGAACAGCAGGAAGTTTATAAGAAATAGTTTATAAACATGGTCCTATTATCAGCTCTCAAATTTTGAGCAAGACTCCAAAGATTTTCTTCAAAGTCAAAGTGTTAATGTCAATGTCTTCAATGAATCTGAGGCGACTGGTGCATAAGCGGTTAAAGTGGAATTAAAATAACTGCCTAAAACTGCCGAGGTGCTCGCTGAGGCCAGAAATGGTCTCAGAGGAAGAAGAAGCTGTTCTTCAGGAAGGGAATCGGGGAGAAGAGGCTGAGATGTCCCACCATCCACCATCTAATACCATCTGGAAAGAGCCTGCTTGGCAACAGCTTCGTTTTTCAGCTGTGATCCCAAACACACCGCCAGTGCAGTGAAAGCATGGATAGAAAACACTATCATAGGATTGGCCTCCACTCAACAGTGTGGGATCATCATGATAAAGAAAGGCTGCCAACATCCAAAGAAAAGCTTCAAGAAGCCTGTTACTGAAGACTGTGGTGGAGATTATGTCACACATGTGTTCATTTTCCTAGTGCGATATAAAGGGATGAAGATTCAGCCCTGCAGAGCCGATGGTACTTCACTCACACATGAATTATAGTTTTTGTGTGGTGACAGTAAAGGTAACAGTGCTGCAAACACACACACACACACGGACTAATTCCCAATAAGCCAATCAGAGCTGCCCGTTAAAGGCTGCTGTGTGTTATTAAGGCTACACTGCTGACTCAGGAGGATCAGAGGAAAACCAGCACGGCTCTTTCTAATCTGCTCTTCCTCACTTTTCACTACTGCAATCACTACTTTCACACCACTCCTCACACTCTTTCTGTCCCCTTTTTTCCTCCACCATATTTCATCCTTCTCTTTATTTCCTCCTTCCTGTAATGCTGTTATACATTCTTCTGTTTCTCATTTAGCCGTTTCTTTCCTTTCTAATCGCTTCATTGATTAACTCCTCCTTCTGTGACACATTTCACTTCTTCTCCTTCTTTCCTAGCTTCCTGTTTGTCTAACTTGAACTCCTCCGTTGCATCACATTCACTTTTACATGCTGTTTTACGTCTTTGCTCAACACTGAAACAAATATTAAAGTTGTCGAGGTGGAGTTGTATATTTTCATGTGTAACCACATGGTAGTAGTTTCATTCCCCACCTCTGAGTGCAGGCGTACGTAAGACACACAGTATCATCCCTCCTCTAATCTCTTTATCCTGGTCAGGGTGACTGAGGAGACTCGTCTGCTGGACCCTCCGAACGCTCCACTCCTTCCATCCCTCCGTCCCTTTTCTCCTTTTTTCCCTCTAGACTCTAAACCAGTGAGGATTTAAAGGGTCCCAGCTTCCACAGGAGTGCGTTTATGGGAGGTTACTCCTCTGTTTCCATGGAGATGAGTTTGATGGGCTGCTGGTGGATCTAGGCCACATAACCACGGGTGTTGGATTATCAGCTGGTGAGTAAGGAGATAATGGACTGAGGGTAGAAGGCCGCACATTATGCAAGACATTTTTTAAACATCATACACGTTTTCGTTCAATAGAATTGATAACAATAAAAATGGAAACGTGAGGGAACAATGTAGGTTTATTTGGTCCAATGTTGATAGTGGATATGTTGTATACTCATGTGTGCGTGATCTTAATTTACCTGTTGCTTTTGTTTAAACTCTTGGTGACCCCACACTACAGCACAAAAACCTGCGTGTTACCAAAGGGTCTTTATTTACCTGAATCTTCATAAAACGTTACTAATCAGTTCTTAAGAAAGAACCGGTAATAATCTCTAATAAAAACAGTTTATGTTCCCGGGTTCAGGTCCATAAAGCAGCCAGTTTGGCTCCTAGTTAGCCACACATGGCCTACTTAGATGATAAGGTGTCAACAACAAAATCTGTCTTACCCTTATATTGCAAAATATGGCTCATACAGGTGTTGGCACTGCCTCAAAAATGCCATTGAGCTGCCAGCTTTGGATCCTGTGTAGGTCCTATGTGGTTCGACCAGTTAGGGCCAAACAACGCCTGGTAATGAAACGTCTTTCTAAAAACCATCCTTTCCACCCGGGTCTCCTTTAGTCTCATAGTCTTTGTAAAGCTCTAACCGTTAGTAATTATTCATGAAAAGAATGTTTAATAAGCTAAAATAAGACAATTTCGTGTTGTTTAAATACAATTATTTTAATACCATTTTGGGTCAAAGAAAATTTGTCAGACAACTAACTTTGTGCTGCAAACATGGTGCAGCGGGCCTACTAAATGTGGATCACAGAGGGATGCCAGTTCAGGTACCGATGACCACGTTATTGTCAGGTCTAAAGTTTTTGCAAGGCTTGTATTTCTTTAGGCCCAGGAAGATTTTCAACATCAGCACTGAACAGCTGGGAAAGCAAACTTGTAATGATGTTGCATAAAGACAGTATTTTATGACATCGTGGTACCCGGTTGGACACATCCAAGTGTTCAAATAAAATGCCATCATGCTAAACTCACCGTGGATATGTCCTGACTTTATGACATTCTGTGTTGCAAAGGTTTCACCAAAATTCATTTTTTTCTCCCTTTCTGGACATAAATTAGCCAAAAGAAAAACATCTCCATGGCCAAGGTAGCACCGTTACTCCCACACCAAGTCTCCAGATTAACTCCACCCTCCATAGTTCTACAAGATATGGACGAGGAGCCAGGTGAAGTCGGTGCACAGGACAGGTGAGTATCATACAAATGCGACTCAAAAACTGTAATGAAAGTGATGATTGTGAGCCACCTGTGGGAAGTGTAGTTCAAGTGTGGCTCAGTGGGTCCTCGAAGAGGTTTTCGAATGGGTTTAAAATGATTCAGGGCCTCTTGCTAAATCTGTGTAGGCCATAGGACAGCAGGTTCATGGACTTATCGGGCTTGGGTACCAGCCAATGGCCTACCAGAGTTATATCCAAACAAACAACAAATAGTAACCTGAAAGACATTTGGACCAAAAATGTATTCACAGACAAATTTTCCAACAGGTTCTGGAGTCCTTTAGAGGATTTAGGTGCCCGTGGGCCTCGTGAAGAGACCCTAATGGACCTTTATCGTGATTCAGAGGCCATTAGCAGCTGCTGTAGTGTCTAAAGTTAAAGTTTCATAATTTCTTGAAGAATGACACCAGTTAGTGGCAACTGTTCAGGGTTATTGATGGATGGGAAGGTTAACGGATCATTTTCTTTGTTTCAGAGCCTCCCAAAAAGCTGGACCGGGGTTTCTCTTCAACGTCAATAACAGCAACAACAATGAAGAAGAGTAAGACACGCACACAGACTAAATACACTTACATGTAAAATGTATTGGCATATATAAACTTATCTCTTATATCCTGCTTTCCTGCAGGGAGGAGAAGAAGAAAAAGAAGAAGGAGAAGAAAGAAAAGAAAGAGAAAAAAGAGAAAAAGGAGTAAATTTGAGTCCATATCCAGATATATAGATTTTCACATAAATCTCAATATATTTCAACTTTAATGAACACTGAAAACTGCTTATTTGTAATTATCTCTCCTAGGAAAGAAAAAAAGGAGAAAAAAGAGAAGAAGGAGAAAAAGCAGAAAGAGAAAGAAGAAAAAGAGAAGGAGAAAGAGAAGGAGAAAGAAAAGGAGAAAGAAAAGGAGAAAGCC